TCATCAGCAGCAGCAGCAACAGCAACAGCAGCAGCAGCAGCAGCAGCAGATGATAGCTGCTGTGCTGCTAGCATGCGTCTAGGGGGGCCCCCCAGGGTCTGGTTTGGTTGCAGCGAAGACAGAGAAGAGCAGCGCCGGCTGCTGCCGTCGGGGGCCCTCATAAGAAGCACTCTCTCAGGCAGAATAGAAGTATACCTACCGGTGCGCTCTTGCTGCTGCTGCTGCTGCTGCTGCTGCTGGGGCTGCTGCTGCTGCTGGGGCTGATGCTGCTGCTGCTGGGGCTGATGCTGCTGCTGCTGGGGATGCTGCTGCTGCTGCTGCTGCTGCTGGGGCTGCTGCTGCTGGGGCTGCTGCTGGGGCTGCTGGGGCTGCTGCTGCTGCTGCGGCTGCTGCTGCTGCTGTTGATGATAATGATGATGATGATGCCTGTGCTGCTGTTGCTGCTACTGCTGCTGCTGCTGCTTGTGATGATGCTGATGCGGTTGCTGCTATTGCTGCTGCTGCTGCTGCTGCTGCTGCAGAACGGAGATTACATGTCTCGTGTTCCTCTTAAGTCTGAGTTTGCTGCTCGCTGCCGCACTAAGCGGCTGCCGCCGGTGCTGCAGCGGCTGGGGGCCCTGTACGAGCAGCAGCAGCAGCAGCAGCAGCAGCTGCAGCAGCAGCAGGGAACAGACGACCCTCTGCTGCTGCCTGCTGCTTTTCTTAGTGATCCCTTCAATACAGGTGAAGCCATAATTAAATCAGGAGATGCAGCAGCAGCAGCAGCAGCTGCTGCTGCTGCTGCTGAAGCAGCGACAGCAGCAGTAGCAACTGCAGCAGCAGCAACAGCAGCACGAAATGTAGCAGCAGCAGCAATAACTTTGGTAGGCTGTTAGTGACGAAAACAGCAGTAGAATCAGAGAGAGAACCAGCAGCAACAGCAGCAGCAGCAGCTGCTGCTGCTGCTGCTGCTGCTGTTGCTGCTAGGCCGCTGATATCAGACAAATCCCCTTCGGAAACAGCAGCAGCAGACAGCAGCAGCAGCAGAAGCAGCAGCAGCAGCAGCAGCAACAGCAATAGCAGCAACCATCACAGCAGCACAAATTATAGCTGCAGCAACAGAAACAAGCTAAACTAAAACAAAATAAAACAAAACAAACCCAAACGAATTAAATAAAAGAGAAAAACAAAATGAATAAAATAAATAAACAAAATACAATAAAATAAAATAAAATAAAATAAAATAAAATAAAATAAAATAAAATAAAATAACATAAAATAAACAAAATAAAATAAAATATTAAATAAAATAAAGTAAAATAAATAAAATAAAACAAAAAATATTTTGTTTCAGGGCGACAAGATCAGGGGCTTCCTGGGCATTGGGTCGTCTGCAAAACGAACGGAAAAAGGACAGCAAAATACAAACAAAGTAAATATAAATAAATAAATAAATAGATAAATATATAATTAAATTAATAAAAAAATAAATAAATAAATAAAATAAATAAATAAAATAGAGTAATCAATACATACATGCAAATCAATGCAGGCATGCAAAT